GAAGAGCAGCCAGTGCTCTTAACCACTGAGCCATCTCTCCAGTCCCCTAACGATTTTTAAAAGCAGATAATCTAAAGATTTCTCTAAAAAGAAAATGGGACCCAGGTGTGGTGACTGCTGCAGACCAGTCAGGGCAGACTCTTTGCTGCTCTTTCTTGAGACAGGGGGACAGCTGAGGGTGGTGACACATGCCCATGATCCCAGCATGGGAGGTGGGGATATGGAGAGCAGAAAACCATAAATCTGCGCTGGGATCCAATTTTGCTGTTTTTTAGGGCAAATTATCTAACCCTAGTGCCTGTGATGTTTCACATGTGAGCTGAGTGAGACGATTCAAAGAGAAAAATAGTAAATAACTACTACAACATGCTCTGATGCCTGCATCTTCTCTATCTGTCTCTGGTCAAGTCTACGTCTGTTGTAAGAACAACAGTTGAGATGAACTTAACCTTCACGGCCTACCTCTGGGTCACAGAAACACTGGCTGTTTTTCCCTGTGATTTATGTAACAGTCTTGTACATGTTATGTCTGTCACCTCCTCCAATACATTATGCACTCCTGAAATATGGGCTTGCCCCATAAGGCCTCACAAACTTTAATATCTCCCTTCCCAAGCCTATGGCCCAAGATAACCACAGAACAGGAACTTGGCAATAACTCACTGATCAGAACTGATTCAACAGCTTTCAGCCCTGAATGCAGGAAGCAATTGTTCACCACTGGGGACCTGAACTAGACCAGAATAACTGTGTCATCTGCTGACCCTGAACTGAAATCAAATGTCTTAAACCTAAAATGTATGCCACATGATAGTTGGTTTTTCTTCTTCTTTTCTACCACAGTCTCCACTACACACACTGCCAAACTCCTGGGCTCCAGTGAGCCTCCTGTCTCTCCTCATGTGGCTGTGACTACAGGCAAGTGCACATGGCTGTCTTATTCTTAGTTCCTCCTGCACAAGCATGGACCTGAGTTTTGTATCCCTGGCACCTATATAAGAACTGGCTATTGCCATCTCAAAAACTTTTGAGGGCCTTACCCTGCCTGGGGAGTGGAGGGGGGATGGTTAGGGGCAGGTGGGATGTTGGGGGGAGGAGAGGGAGAGGGAGAAGGGATTGACATGTGAAGCAAGCTTGTTCCTAATTTGAACTAATAGAAGAAGAAGAAGAAGAAGAAGAAGAAGAAGAAGAAGAAGAAGAAGAAGAAGAAGAAGAAGAAGAAGAAGAAGAAGAAGAAGAAGAAGTGGCTGTGGTGACCTCACCAGAGCACCAGAGGGCTGGAGGAAGGGCAAAAGGTGGCTCTTTGGAGCCACTGGCCACCCAGTGAGCTTTTAGGTTCACTGAGAGACCCTGTTAAAAAAAAAAAAAAAAAAAAGTGGAAAAAATGACTAAGGAGGACAGCTAATGTCAATCTCTGGCCTCGATATGAACACACCACACACCCATATGCACACTCCCACACACATATCCACACAAACACACACACCACTTACACATAAAAAGTGCTGAAAGCCAGCTATGGAGCCTATAATCCCAGCCTTTAGGAGGCTGGGGGAACAGACTTAAGAGTTTGAGGTCAATCTGGCCTACACAGAACCCAAAGCAAACGGAAAATGCACTGGAGCTAAGGACTCACTGGCAGTGAACAGGGCTCCGGGCTTGCCCAGTGGGCATACAGCTGAAGCCCCGGGTTCAGTCTCCAACAGCATAAAACAAACACTCTAAACTGTACAATGTTTTGTCACTATGCCAAACAGTCGCCCTCAGAACCTGGGATTCTTTTTTATTTGGTTGTTGCTTTCTTTTTTTTATAGACAGGTCTCCCTTTGTAGCCCTGACTGTCCTGGGACTTGCTAAGTAGATGCGACCGGCCTCGAACTCACTGAGATTCTCCTGCCTCTGTTTCCCTAAATGCTGGGATAAAGACATGCGACACCACGCCTGACTAGAGCTTGGGATTCTTAAAAGCTTTACAGTTATAGTAAGGGCTAAAGGTCCTGAAAGCTTTGGAACCACAGAGACACCTAGGTCCTTTAGTTCTGAGAAACCTTTGTCAACATATCTGCATCAACCCATTTACCAGAGGCAAGTTTAGACTTCCCACTGAAACAAGTATAGGTTTCAAACACAATAACCACAGTGCTCTCTAAGGTAAAAGGGGGAAAAAAAGAAGGAAGGCAATATGTCTATTTCCTCACTACCCAGCTCCCTCTCTGGTGTTCAGCAATGTGTGACTTGTGTCTCAAGACTCCAGTTGCTCTCCAGCCAAGCACAGAGCCAGCCCTCCACCCGCACACTGCTTACCCAAGAGCTCAAAGCTTCAGAGGGAGAGGCTGCACCCCTCCTTTTATGGCTCACTTCCCAGGACCAGACTCAGGACTCTGTGTGTGGAACACAAGACGCCCCTCTCTATGCTAGCCACTCTACTCTCACCTCCCAGCCATTACCTTCTCCATCAGGCTGCGGGATGCTGCGGAAGAGACAGTGTTGCTCCCGGATGAATTGTCCAGTCAACTTGATGTCCACATCCACCTGGCCAACCCTGGGGGAGCAATGACCAACATTTTCTAAGCATGTTCAGTATTTGCCAAGTGTTTGCCAAGTGCCTCCTGAGCACCGCCAGCTCATCCATCTCCATGAGTCAAGTGTCATTCTCATTTCATAGACAAGGAAGCTGGGGTTCAGGGAGGGGAACTTGCCAACATCACACAGCTAAGCAATAGTGAAGCTGGGATTTGAGCCCAGGCATCCCTGATCTTTAAGACCATGTCGTACATCTGCACATTATGCAACAAAGGGGAAATGCCAGCCTGATGTGGATGGGCATCCTTACACCTTTAACTATAGGAGGTTTTGAGCCCTGGGGTTTGGTTAGCAACAGCTATTCAAACCACCTGGCCCAACCCTGGAGTCTACAATGTGGGCACCGGCCCTCAACAGCATGGGGCCAGGCAAGGTTTCCTTTTCCCTGCCCCCAGTGTCTCAGCAATGGTGTTAGGAGCTAAGGAAGCAGCAGTCCATTTCCTGTAAGTTCTTCTGCCCCAGTAAACACTCCCCCAGGGGCCATCCCCACCATGGTGCCAAGAAACCCTTCACCAAATGAAGACTAGTTGCTGATCGAGGGGCCTCAACAGTTTAGGTGGGAAAGGAGTTAGGCATGCACACCTATGATCTCAGTATCTGGGAGGTTGACACATAAGGATTTCGAATTTAAGTTATCCTGGGCCACAAAGCAAGACCCTGTCTCAGAAAGGGGGTGGGAATGAAGTACTGATCTTACAGAGGACCTAAGTTTGGTTCCCAGTACCCATGTCAGGTAGCTCACAACCACCCATAACACCAGCTCCAGGGGAGCCAACACGCTCTTTTGGTCTCTGTGGGCACACCTGCCCACATGTGGTACTCACTGACACAGACACACACGCATAAATAAAAATAAAATCTTAAAAGAAAAGAAAGCTGAAAGAGCAATCAGGGAGGCAGCTGTCCAAAGACCCGGAGTATCTCCAGGGGCCACCAGACAAACAGAGTCACAATGATCAATGTGACAGTCCTTCTGCAGTCACACCCTGAAGATTTCTAAGTGTATTTACCTTGTGACACCATCTTTGATGTGGTAGAGGAGACACTCAGACATCAAGGGGTCCTCATTCAGATTTACCAGGTGGGGAGTCTGTGGGTAAAGGGGGAGAGGCAGTCAGGGCAGAAGGCTCACAATATCCAGCAAGAGTGGCCACAGAGAAAAAGGGGGTGGAGGAGGAGAGGACACCTCTCCTGTTTTGATACTGCTCACTGATCATCCTGCTCTCATTGTATGGGAGCTCTCCGTCCTCCATCCTGCCCTAGGAGCATCTCTGGTTCCCAACTCTCACACAAGCCTCTTCTCCTCACAACCAGGCTAAAAAATGCCATCCTCACCACATACCCCACCCTCCAGTTGGTAACCCATCCTGAAGCCACCTACAAAGAGACAGGCTCCCTGACTAGAAGCCTTGGATTCCCCCTACACCACTATTTTCTTGTGTCCTTCCTATTCTCCAAGTCCCATCACTTCTTGCCACAAAATCTACCTTGCAATTTCCAGAGAGTAAGAGAAGGGACTAGGTCAGAAGACTGGTACACTCCACCTTTTAAAATTACTTTTAATAATTTAAAAACCAAGTGGCTGGAGAGATGGCTCAGTAGCTAAGAGCACTGACTGCTCTACCAGAGGACCAGGGTTCAATTCCCAGCACCCACATGGCTGCTCACAGCTGTCTGTAACCCCAATATCTGAAATCCTCAAAGACACACATGCAGGCAAAAAAAAAAAAAAACAAATGCATGTAAAATAGGAATAAATAAATTTTTAAAAAAGTATCATTTTCCATTTTAAAATCAAGAGTTGAGCAATGGGCCAGGCAGTGGTGGCACTCGCCTTTAATCCCAGCACTCTGGAGGCAGAGGCAAAAGGGTTACAAGTTCCAGGACAGGATGGGGTACATGGCATGGCCCTGTCTATAAACAAACAAAGAAAACGTGTTTCTTGCAGCAGCAGACTCTTCATCTACCCTAGCCACTTCCCTTCCTTGGGCCTACCCACCTAAGGCCAGGATCACTTACTCCTACACCTGTCCCTGCCCACAGCTTCCCAGAACAAAACCACCCAACTGTTTCTTGGCCTCTGGCTATCTCAGTATAAAATCGACCCAAAACACTTGGCTGATCTTTATGCTGCTTTGTGCTGGAGATGGAATCCACTGCCTGCATCCACAGCACCTGCTCATGTCTCTCTTACACCACCCCTGCCCTCCCCAGTACCCACCTCTGGGTACACACGGAACTTGCTCCCTCTATGCTCTTCTATGCCACTCCAGTAAAAGACCCCTTCCATATGGTTGCTGGGTCCACAGCCCTGAGCCAGCCCTCTTCAGGCCTACATGACTTTAGGGTTTTCCAGACCCCATCCCCAAGACCTCTTAGTTGACAGTCCCATCAGACTTGAGCTCTGCTTTACATTCTGGCTTCCCTGGGCCTCCTCCATATCAGAGTCATCCCACACGTCCAAGCCTCTTTTGAGGGTCTTTTCCCCAAGTCTGTGCTCCTGCCCAGTGTACTGCTGAACACTCCAGAAAGAAGCCTTCTGCACCCGACTGCTGAGGAAGTTATCCCTGCCATGCTCCCATTCCCCAGCACAGCCTATTCACCATCTCCGCCTACACTCCCACCTGCCAAAATCATTTACTACATGCCCTTCTGGGTCTGTCTCAAATGCCACTTCCTTGAAGCTCTCCTAAGCCCTCCAGTCAAGGAAGCCTTCATTCTACAAGCTTCTAACTCACCTCAGGGAGGTTCTGGGTAGGACAGGGATGAGTCACACACACTCATGGTTGACTGTCCTGTTAGGAAGTCAGAGCCAACTCGAGGAGACAAGACTTGTGTGGAACATCACTCACTACAAATGGGAAAAACGACCTGGGCATGGGCATGTCTTTAATCCCAGCACTCAGGAGGAAGAGGCAAGCAGATCTCTGAGCTAGAGGCCATCCTGGTCTACACAGTAAGTTCCAGGCCATCTAAGGCTACATAGGGAGGCCCTGTCTCGACAAAAAAATAAATAAATAAATGTGTGTGGGGGAGGGGGGGTGAGTGCCTCATAGAAACTGTTGACTTTCTCACACTCCTGTCTTGATTATCTGCTCATTGATTTGTACCCAGGGAGTTGACTGCTGCCCTGTTCTGCAGCAATTCACAAGTAAAGAGAGACAAAGGGCAACTAGGGGAGCTCCCGGCTTTGGAGAACTGTGGGAAAGGCAGCATGGGGTGGGTCTTAGGGAACAAGGAAGGCACTGACATGTAGAAGGAAGAAGTTCCAGAAGGAAGCAATCTGACAGAAGCATGGAAGACAAAAAGCACAGGGCACAGAAGGAAAACAGCTGGGAGCAGAGGCCCAAGACTTCTCTGGGATCCACTCTGCTTGTGTGAGCCCAGGACTGCATCCACAATATCTGCCTGCTTCTCCCTTGGCATTTCACAACTGCCCTTGCCAAACTGCCTCAAGGGACACTCGTGTCTCCTTCCTACATTGCAGCATCAGACCTGTCCTGGGACTGGCAGGCACTGATGGGCCCTGGAAGCAGAAAGTGATCTATCCCTAGGGAGAGAGGACATGATTTGGGGCAGTGCTTTTCAATTTCTGCTCAGCCCAGGAACTCTTTGTTCAAAAGAAACCTTATCTAGAACCTAGGATATCAAGCAGATAAGCAAGGAGCCAATCAGTGCCAGCTAAGGTAGGGAGGCACCGCCCCCACCTCCCCCAGACACTAGCCCTTGAGAAGGAAGCTCAGATTTGAAAATCACTGATTTGGGAAGTCCTTGGGCTTGGTAACAGGGGTCCCAGAAAGAGGAGGCTTTCCCTATCAGTCTTTACTCTATCCAAGACAAACTGCAGCTTTACCCAGCTCTCTACCTAATCATTCCTAAGTTATAACCAGCCCTACCAAACCCGTTCTGCCAGTAAGTCTCACAGCTCTCCCATCTGAGAAATGCCTATCCTGCACCTTAGGACAGGACAAACTATCCCAAAACTCCTGTTCACCAACCACACCAACAAAGTCTGATCCACAGAGGGCATTTGAAAAGCATGAGGGAAGCTAGGCATGGTGGCATATGGCTATATCTGTCACACTTGGGAGGTAGAAGCCGAAGGATCAGCATTAACTACACAGTGAGTTCAAGATCAACCTGGGCTATAGCAAGTTCAAGTCTGGCCTAAGCTACATGAAAAAAAAAAAAAAAAAAAACAAAAACAAAAAAACAAGGGTGGGAATACAGAGTAGTGAAGGGGATGGGCCCTCTTACAGGATGCTCTTGGGAGTATAAATTGGCCTGGCAATAATCTTCAGAGGGCACCTCAGTGATATAGATCAAAATTTTATTCTTATCTATACATGTTAATTAATTAATTATGTGAGGGTGCACTAGCACCTTAGTGCTCATGTGAAGGTCAGAGTCGGTTCTCTCCTTCTTTCTACTTGGTGGGTCACAAGTTCAGGTCCTCAGCTTGGTGGCAAGTGCGTTTACCTGCTAAGCCACCTAGCCAGTGTCTACAGAAAACTTTAAACAACTGCTGGGTGTGGTAGCTAATGTCTGTAATCCCAGAATTTGGGAAACTAAGGAAAGAAGACTATTATCCTGAAGCAGCCTGGACTACATGGTGACTCCCAGGCAAGCCTGAGCTATAGTATAACTGACTCTCTGTCTCAAAAGTATCTAAAATAAATATCTGAAATGTATCTAAAAATAAGCACATAGCCGGGCGTTGGTGGCGCACGCCTTTAATCCCCGCACTTGGGAGGCAGAGGCAGGGGGAGCTCTTTGAGTTCAAGGCCCGGCTGGTCTCCACAGCGAGTGCCAGGATAGGCTCCAAAGCTACACAGAAAAACCCTGTCTTGAAAAACAAAACAAAACAACAACAACAAAAAAAAAACCACATAAAGGTACTAAAGAATTAAAAAAAAAAAAAAAGACAAAGGCTAGCCTGAACTGTTTATCGAGTCTGAGATAGGAAATAAAATTAGAAGAAACAGGGCAGAAAGGACACAGCTTTGTCATGTGTCCTTCTTGACATGCAAGCAGGAGGAACTGAGCTTGGATCTCCAACCACCATGTAAATCCAGGGGCAGCAGCATGTGCCTGTAATGCCAGCACTTTGTTGAGGCTTGGGGTGCCTGGCCAGCCAGTCTAAATAATTAGTGAGCTCCCCATTTACCTAGAAGTCTTGTCTCAAAAAAATAAGACGGAGAAGCAATTGAGAAAGACAGAGATGTCTGGCCTTCACCTGGGTACTTGCGTGTATACATGTACATGTACACATGTACACACACACACACACACACACACACACACACAGGTATATCATTAAGGTCATGGGTTCAATCTCCAGCACTATAAAAAAAAATGAATAAATAAAACAGCCAGGCCGACGGGCAGTGGTGGCGCACGCCTGTAATCCCAGCACTTGGGAGGCAGAGGCAGGCGGATCTCTGTGAGTTCAAGACCAGCCTGGTCTACAAGAGCTAGTTCCAGGACAGCCTCCAAAGCCACAGAGAAACCCTGTCTTGAAAAACAAACAAACAAAAAAAACAGCCAGGCCAGTGCCACACATTTTTAATCCCAGTATTCAGGAGGCAAAGGCAGGTGGATTTCTGTGTATCCAAAACTAGCCTAGTCTACATTGAGTTTCAGGCTAGTCAAGGCAACATAGAGACTATGCCTTCAAAATAAAATAAAAATAAAGGACCACCATTTTACTCTAAATACCTACTTCCAAGACTCTATTCTTATAAATAACAATCTCTTGTTTGGGGGACAAGGGAGGGGATAAGGTCTATGTAGCCCTAGCTGACCCAAAACTCCTGACAATTCTCCTGCCTAGGCCTCTGAGTGCTGAGAGTATGGGCACGTACCACCATGCCCAGCTTTTAATACCTATCTATAAGATTACTGGTTGTAGCATCATTTACAGATTCAGAGGTAAAAAAACTAAATGCCTACCAGTAGAAAGATAACTTAATAAACTGCCCTTATCCAACCGAGTAATCTGGCTTCAGCAAATAAAGCGAGTACCCTTTAAAATGGAAAGGCATGCAACCACCGTGGGACAAAGATGAAGTTAGGGCAATGAGCGGCTTGGTGGGTAAAGCTGCTTGCTGTCCAAGTCTGGCAACCTAAGTTTGAGCCCCTAAACCCAGGTGTGCTGGTTAGTTTTAACTTTCAGCTTGGTACACCCAGAGTCAACTAGGAAGAGTCCGAATGAGGAGTTATCTGGATCAGATTCCTGTCTCTTGACTGTTAATGAAGTAGCAAGTTCTGGGTCATGGTAGCAGCCTTCTCGAGGCAGCAGATCCTGAACTATAAGACAAGAGAAAGCTGGAGGTGAGCAGCATCACCAGCTAGGGATTCACTTGCTGCCTCTCTGCAGATGTGACGTGACTTCCCCAAATGATGGACCATAGCCTGGAACTGTAGGCTGAATAAACCCCTCCCTTGCCAATGTTGCTTTTGGTTAGGGTGCTTTATTACAGCAACAGACATGAAACAAGAACGCCGTCCGTGTAAAGGTGGAAGGAGAGAAGAAACTACATGAAGCTATTTCTGACCTCCATGTGAGCACAATGGCGTGCGTGCCCACACACAATAATAAAAAATTTTAAATTTAAGGGATAGAGCAGGATCAGCAAGGTAGCTCAGCAAGTAAAGATGCTTGCTCACACACCACACAAATAATGTAATAAAAAGGAATGAGGTAATGAGATCGGGCTGGAGAGATGGTTCAACTGTTAAGAGCACTGACTGCTCTTCAGGTTCCCAGTACCCACATGGCTATTCATAACCTTCCTTAACTCCTGTCCCACAGGGACCCAACACCCTGTTCTGAACTCTTCGGGCACTGCATATGCATGGCACACATGCAGGCAAAACATCTGTAACACATAAAAAAATAGAAATAAATCTCAAAAATCAGTAAGGTTATGTGTGTATGCAAATGTATAATTAAAGCTTAGTGAGTCCTGCTTTTGGAATTTTCTAGATGGTCTTCACCTCACAATAAAGCCTCTTTGCAGGACCTCTCCTGACTAGCCAGACCACCTATCTGGCACCAACAAATCCCATGTAGACTGACATGCTTTTTGTCTGTTTAGCCTCATGTTATCCCTACCACTCTCTACCCAAGTCTTGTCCATTTTTCAAGCCCCATTTTGCAGACAGTACCTCTGAGTCAGGGCCTCATCTGGGCCTGTTTTGCACCATGTACCAGACAGGCCAGGCTGGTTTCCTGGTGGGACTGGAAGTTCCTGCTCTGCTCAAAATGGCTTCCACATCCTCCTCCATCAACACACACCAGCCAGCTATGCTGGCTTGTTTTTTGTTATAAGTGTATGTGCTGTGTGTCGTCTCCACCCCCACCTCCCAATCTCTACCTCTCTCACTTCTTTCCTACTGAGGATTTAACCCAGAGCCTTGCTAGGCATACACTGAATTAGAACTCTAGCCTTATTTATTTATTTGTTTGTTTGTTTGTTTGTTTGTTTTTAAGCATGGTCTCACTATGTAGCTCTGACTAGCCTGAAACTCACTACATAGACCAGGCTGGCCTTGAACTCACAAAGTGCTGGGATTAAAGGCATGTGCTACCATGCCCTGCCAGCCTTTCATTTTTTTGAGACAGGATCTCAACTATAAAGCTCACACTAATTTTAAACTCACTATGTAGCCCAGGCTGCCCCTGAACTTGAGCTCCTCCTACCTCTGCCACTCAATCTCCGGGTCTGAGATTATAGACTGTGCTACCACATCTGGCAGCTACGATGACTTTTTATTGCCAGTGTTCCTCCTAATTGATCAGTCTCATACCAGTTGATGAAGTATTTTAAGTATTATTTCCTATTTGGGCCTGACCACTCTTTTTTAAATTTTCTATCTATCTATTTATCTTCTATCTATCTATCTATCTATCTATCTATCTATCTATCTATCTATCTATCATTTTTGAGGCAGGGTTTCTCTGTGTAGCCCTGGCTGTCCTGGAACTTACCATGTAGACCAGGATGGCCTGGAGATCCACCTGCCTCTGTCTCCCGAGAGCCTTGATCACACTTGCCTTGCTTCCCTCCTCTTCAGCAAAGCTCTACCATGCACATACCACCTATCTGGCACCAACAAATCCCATGTAGACTGACATGCTTTTTGTCTGTTTAGCCTCATGTTATCCCTACCACTCTCTACCCAAGTCTTGTCCATTTTTCAAGCCCCATTTTGCAAACTACCTTCCTGAGCGATCCAGGTGCTGCATCTCTAGGCCATACGGATGCTTCCAATGAAAACCAACCCTCCTGCACTTCCAACCAAGGTCACATTTACTCCTCCTCTATCTCTTTCCCAAACATCTTCCCTAGTTAGTCTTGTTGAATGTACTTTTCTTTAATCTCAGCATGCAGGAGGCAAAGGCAGGTGGATCTCTGTGAGTTCAAGGCCAGCCTGGTCGACGGAGCAAGCTCCAGGACAGCCAGAGCTACACAAAAAAAACTGGTCTCAAAAAAGCAAAAACAAAACAAACAACAAACTTTTTTTTTCTTTTTGATCTTTCAAGAAAGGATTTCTCTGTGTAACAAAGCCAGCCCTAGCTGTCCTGGCACTCACTTTGTAGACCAGGCTAGCCTCAAAATCACATAGCTCTGCCTGCCTCTGCCTTCCGATTGCTGGGATTAAAGGTATGTGCCACCAACACCCAGCTCAGTTAACTTTTCAAGTAGATAGCGCATGCACAGCACCAGTGCTTCCCAGGCCCTCTTCCTCTCTCCTGAAGAAGCCAGGAGACTAATTCTGCACGTGTACTCCTAGACACACATGCATGTAAGAAGCTGGGTTTTACACAGCTTTGAGGTCCCTCTAGGCAAGGACTGTCATTTTCAATGAACCCTTCAGTAGTTGGCCACAAGCATTTAATATGCACTGACTATCTGATGGATGGAGAAGGCAGAGATGGCCACATAATAGAGGCAGAAGAAGGCAGAGAATGGGAAAAAGATGATGAAGGGACAAGTCAGAGGCACAGAAGCAAAGGATTAGGGTTAGGGCTTCCTCCATACCACATCTAACCCTCTTCTTCAGGCATCCAGAGAGCTCTTTAGGCCTCTTTGCCCAATCCCTCACACACCTTTTTTGGAGAGAAGACACCCACAGTACCACCATCCTCCCGGACAGCCACGCCCATCTCGGCCAGCAATGCTTCTCTGTGAGCAAGAGAAAGACAAACATCAACCTCATCACTGCCGTCCACACCCTTTCCCTGCTGAGGCGCCCACCTGTGCACCCTTGCCCCTCATACCTACCTCTCCATTCTCAGAGCTTCTGTCTTACGAAGCTTCTCCTCCCAAGTCTCATTCAGCTCAGCGATAATCTTCTCTGTCTCCTGGGGACATCAGGACAGACAGAAGGCAAGTTCAGGACAGTCCTGGACCAACACCTACCACAGAGACGACTATACTCTTGAAATTCCTTCCTCTATTTCAGCCTTGGTTTTGAAGAAATGAAGTTGGAGCAGCACCCAGACCACCAGTGTTGGCTTCGCTTCCCACCTGCAGCCTCTCCATGGCCTCCTCAGGCCCAATCTGGGGCTCAGCACTGGGGGAAAATGAAGGCTCCAGCTCCCCATTGTGTGGAGGAGGAGATGAGGGTGAAGCTGGGGCCGGAGGAGATGACACAGCTGGCAGAGCCCCTCCAGGACTCCCCTCTTCCACCTTCAGACCTGGGAGGGAGAAAAGGAGAAGGAGGCTAAGATAGAACTGATCAGAGACAAGAGAGGGCAAGAGGGCCACAGAGAACTACAGAAGACATCTGGGCAACTTGCCACCAGGGTGG